GCTTTATTGCTTTGTTGAGTCTTTTTTTTTTTTTTCTATCATTATTGTTCTTTTCTTTTCAATTATTTTATTTTATTTTATGTTATGTTTTTTTTTTTTTTTTTTTTTTTTTTTTTTTTTTTTTTTTTTTTTTTTTTTTTTTTTTTTTTTTTTTTTTTTTTTTTTTTTTTTTTTTCTTTATTTTTTTTTTTTATTTTTTTTTTTTTTTGTGTTTTTTTTTTTTTTTTTTTTTTTTTTTTTTTTTATTTTCAACTGATTGAATATTTTTGTCTCTAGTTCCGTTTCATTTTAAGTCGAACATTGGATATAACCTCTTTGTGTCCTTCCCCCCTTTTCCATTTTGCGGAGAATACATATATATTTTTTTATGTGAAAATACAACAAAGTGTTAAGGAATTATAAAAACTTATTAATAAGCGTATGCCCAAGATACCGTTAGCGTACATACACGGGTACACACACATGCACACACAAATATACATACACAAACGTAGGTGAATGGACATGTGCAGGTATTTTTACATTATTGCATATCTCTTTTAATAACACCCCTTTTTACAGGTCTATCACCTTTTTTTAAAAAAAAATTAATTAAAGAACAACCCCCATTCAAGTTTCTATCTCTCCTCCTTTATGAGTAGATTGTGTGGAGCTACATCCCATTTGTGTATCCCTGTTATGAATTTATTTTGTTATCAAATGGATGCATTAAAAAAAAAAAATAATAATAAAATAAATAAATATATGAAAAAAATTTGTTCAAAACGAGGACCTAAGGGGGGGAAAAATATACACATATATATACACATATGGATGTACATACTATCCATTATGCCATCTCCTTGGGTTTCACTTCTCACTACTTTAGTTTTATCAACCGGTATACATGCTTATGTACGTTAAATAGTATGATAAAAAGAATTCTGTAATATATATATAAAAAAAAAAAAAAAATGTGTTCAAAACCCTCTGGGGAGGGGGGCGATTTCATCACTGAATGACATGTTGAATATTCCTTTACAACATTTTATATCAACCTATGCCACAAGCACATGTATTTTACACACACGATTTGCACTCATTCAGTCCTGCTTGTACCCACCGTTTTAACACAAGAAAAAAAACTAGCAGTTCTTTTCTACCTAAATAGGTAATTTTAAAAATAGAAACAACATAATAACATACCGTGGGGGGTATGTAGGTGATACAACTAGGGATTTGAAATGCTGATTATCAATGATTTTAATTCGTGATATACTACTCTAAGCAAATTATACTTGCATGTGTGATAAATGAAAGGAAATACAAACAAAAAGATGATCTGTTGAGAAACATAAGCGAAAAGGAATTTTACGTACGTATGTCTATACAAACTCTCGTAATACTTTAATACAGCAAAATTGTACATAAACCATGTTCAGCAGTTTTTTTTTTTTTTTTTTTACAAAAAAATAAGCAGTTCTATTTCGTTCCCTTATATAAATTATATGCATGTTCTGTGTTTTCACCCCTTTCTCTCCCCCTCCCCCCCCAATGGCATGAAATATAAATTATTTAAAATGTTTCCTTTCGCTCTTCTGTATATTACATGTATGGGTTTCCGTATGTACATACATAAATATACATATATAAAATTAAGTATATATGTGTGTGCAGGTTGAACTGCCTTTACGTGGGCTCCACGCGATGAGAACCTTTTTGTTAGTTACTAAGGATTTATGTTCAATAATTAAGTTTTTTTTTTTTTTTTTTTTTTTTTAAAACTATTCGTGTAATTTTTGAACTTGTTCATGTGTATAATAATTATTATTCTTATAGTATCTGTGTTTATGTATTGAGGCCTATATATGTATATATATTTTATGTGTACATCTTTACCCGTGTTTTTTACGTAATTGTATATATATATATATATATATATATAATCTATTTGTTTTTCCTGTAACAGCGTGTAGTGTTAACTTAAAAAAAAAAAGAAACATTCATGAACTTCTGAATAAGAGGAAAAAACATGAGAAAAAAAAAAAAAAAAAGGATTAATACTTGAGGAAACAACAGCATAATTATTGATGGCGAAAAAAAGAATTACTAAAACTAGAGTAAATTAACATATACAAATATGTCAAATTAGTGGGGTTCTATCACCCTCCCTTAAAATATATGGAGTTACATACCCATTGAATATTGTACTGCGTACATATTGTATGCGTAATTATGTATACATATAAATAAATATACATACGAAACGCATATTTATAGGAGTTCCATGCACCTGTTTTTTTTTTTTTTTTTTTTTTTTTTTATCATAAGGAAAAAGTGCCTATTATTCATGAAAATTTTTATATTCCTTTTTTTCAGAATTAGAAGCAAAATTTATGCCCGTTGTGCTTTTTTGGTTAAACAGGTGAATAATTTTCTCAAGCTAACCATGAGCATGAACGAATGCGTGCTATATACATATACATAGTGAATATATATATATATATATAGAATATTTTGTATATATATGGATAAATGCATATATGCATATATATATGTATACATATACACTATTTTTTTTTTTTTTTTTGTTTATACCTATTTAACGCTGTTAAAAATACATGAACGAACGACCCTAAAAGAACAGAACTTCCTCCCCTCCGTATACATAGTTAATAATAGGAGGTTTAAATATATATATATAACATATATCATATAAAAATACATGGACGAACGCATATATGCAAAAAAAAAAAAAAAAAAAAAAAAAAAAAAAAAAAAAAAAAAAAAAAAAAAAAAAAAAAAAAAAAAAAAAAAAAAAAAAAAAAAAAAAAAAAAAAAAAAAAAAAAAAAAGGTTAAAAAAAAAGAAAAGGGAAAAAAAAAAAAAAAAAAAAAAAAACGAGAATAGAGAAGAAAACAGAAAAAAACGAGAGTATTGACTTTTACGACTTTTTACTCTCTCCCCACACGAACCAAAAAAAAAAGAGCATAATTTTTTAAAGTTTTTAAAACTATTATATCATTACGGTCGAAAATAATTTTCCGCTTTTATAAAAATACATGAACGAACGACCCTAAAAGAAAAGAACTTCCTCCCCTCCTTTTCCATAGTTAATAATAGGAGGTTTAAATATATATATAAAAAATATATCATATAAAAATACATGGAAGAACGAATATATGAAAAAAAAAAAAAAAAAAAAAAAAAACATACGGAATAATTACGAACAAACCCTGTTGAAATGTAAGAGTATAAAATAAAATATGCTCACGAAAAAAAATACATTCGCCATATAAATGGTACAAAAACAATATATGTACAAATGTAAACGCTCCCGTCCCGTCCCTTTTAATATCGTTGCTTCATTTTGACATACTTATTAACAAAGAGAGGAGAACTATATGAAAGAAAATGATGAAGGATAAGATTCGATGAGAAAATATAAATAAAAATAAGAAAAAAAACAACAAAAAAAAAAAAAAAAAAAAAAAAATAAAAAAAAAAAAAAAAAAAAAAAAAAAAAAAAAAAAAAAAAAAAAAAAAAAAAAAAAAAAAAAAAAAAAAAAGGAAAAAAAAAAAAAAAAAAAAAAAAAACGAGAATAGAGAAGAAAACAGAAAAAAACGAGAGTATTGACTTTTACGACTTTTTACTCTCTCCCCACACGAACCAAAAAAAAAAGAGCATAATTTTTTAAAGTTTTTAAAACTATTATATCATTACGGTCGAAAATATTTTTCAAAACTTATATTTTAACAGATTAGAGAAAAAAAAAAAAAAGAATATATTATGTATGTTACTACTCCAAATCGCAAGCTACAAACATTCAAGCTTTTGAGAAGCAACAACAATAAATGCACTTCTTACATATATACATATAAATATATATATATATATGTATATAAATATATATATATATATATGTATATAAATATATATAAGATATAGAGCTTTGGTTCTATTCGTGCTAGTGGCAGAGGTTATTCATAACATATATCTACATATATAAGAAGTTACCAGGAAACTTAAGAAATTGTCATATTAATACAAGATAAAAGGGAGCAGAGAATTGAAGAGAGAATTGCTAGGAAAAGGGGAAAAGCCCACAGAATAGGATAGAACAAAAAAAAAAAAAAAAAACAGCAAATTAAAGCAGTTAAAATAGAACAACGGATAGGCACCAGGTACAGACCAAAACTATTCCAAATCGTTCACAAATTTCGCTGAGGTATATAACGCCAAAAAAAAAAAAAAAAAAAAAGTTATTCAAAAAATGGCCATGCGGGAAAGCGTTTCTCGAATTTATGTTGGAAATTTACCATCTCATGTAACACCAAGAGATGTAGAAAATGAATTTCGTAAATATGGAACTATCCTAAAATGCGATGTCAAAAAAACCGTATCAGGAGCAGCCTTTGCATTCATAGAATTCGAAGATGCAAGGGATGCAGCAGATGCAATAAAAGAAAAAGACGGATGTGATTTCGGTGGTAATAAATTAAGAGTTGAAGTTCCTTTTAATGCTAGAGATAATGGAAAATATAATTCTAGGGGAGGTAGAGGATTTGGTGGTAGAGGAATGAAATCTAGGAGAGGCCGTTACGTTGTTGAAGTAATGGAAAAAAAAAAAAAATAAAAAAAAATTTACAAAAATGTGCACCGTTAGGATAATCGCTATCCTATTTATTCTCTCATTTTTGTACATGAATTGATACATGAGTATTAGTGATAATGTTATTATTAACATGCATTTGTGCAGATATCAAAAACATGTCACAAAAGATAATGCTACACCACGTACCTTTTAAAGAGACACACATTTCTTAGCTTTATTCTATGTGTATTTGTCTTGTGCTTATATATACAAACATAATGTCCACATTTTTTTTTTTTTTTTTTTTTTCTGAATTTATTTTTTCCTTTTGCCTACAGGTTAGCGGGTTACCCCTTTCAGGTAGCTGGCAAGATTTGAAGGATCATCTGAGAGAAGCAGGGGAATGTGGTCATGCAGATGTTTTTAAAAATGGTTTGGGTGAAGTATCTTTTTTTCATAAGGAAGATATGCTTGAAGCTATTGAAAAGTTTAATGGATCTACATTTAGATCCCATGAAGGCGAAAAATCAAAAATAACAATCAGACAGAAAAAAACATCGTGGCGTCGTGAAGACGGAGGGTATGGTAGATACAATAGTAGGAATAGAAGTTATTCAAGTAGGAGTTACTCAAGAAGTGATAAAAGATCATATACCAGAAGTAGAAGTTATAGTAGAAGCAGAAGTGGAAGCAGAAGTAGAAGTGGGAGCAGAAGTAGAAGTGGAAGCAGAAGCCGAAGTAGAAGCAGAACTTCCAGTAGTAGTAGAAGTAGAAGTATGGATAGAAGAAGAGATGCTTATGATAAGAAAAGAAGTTATTCCAGAAGTCTCTCTTATCAAGAAAGAAGAAGAAATAATAGATCAGTATCAAAGTCTGGATCGAGATCTGCTTCTAGATCAGATTCTAGATCATCTTCATGGTCCCATAAAAGAAGACATTAGATGTTTGTATTATATGTGTAAATGAAAATAAAATTATCCCAGGAAATGTGTATTATGCGTATATTTTTGTGCACAATTTTTTGTGTGTATATGTGTATACATTTCTATGGAATTATTTGTTCCCATATACGTGTAACGATTATATGTACGCATATTTAAGCGGAATAAGGAAGTTTATTGTGATGATATTCTTTAGAATTCTGTTCATAACCTAAATCAGATATTTCTATTTCTTGACATTGTTTTAAGATTATCTTTTCATAAGGAAAAACTTAGCAAGTATGCTACAATTACATATAAATATGGATGTATATGCAGATATGCATTCTCTCTCATTTTTTCCACTCCTTCCCCAAACCATCTTCTGAATTCACTTAATTAAGTATATTATTGCTTTTCTTTTTTTTTTTTTTTTTTTTTAAACATCTACATATTTACATGTTATACTACATGCGTTGTGCGTTATATATATGCATGAGTGCATTATTGAATACATATACGTTTATATATATAAACATATATGTATATTCATACCTTCATATGTATACATACAAACACCTACGCAGACATTCTCTTATCCCACCTGTAAGGACCATCATATATATACCTACACACGTATGCATCCATATTATAATGACAAATTGTTGTGTATTACACGAAATGTTTTATAAATTTTTTTTAAATAATTATTTATAAATAAAATAAGATAAAATATAAAATTATATGTAATAATTTTTTTTTTTTTTTTTTTTTTTTTTTAAAATAATTATTTATATTTAATTTACATGTCAATATAGTTACTTCGACATTATATCGTCATTCGTCAGAGTCAGAACACTATAACCATTTGACACAATAGCAAAAGGGCCCCCTTAGTACTACGAATTAAATCCCCCCACCCCACCCAACTACCAACCCCCATTTCGTGACATTGGCACACACAGCATTTATATATATGATAAATGCATGATGATATCATGGTAAAAAAAAAAAAAAAAAAAAAAAAACTACAACAGTAATTGCCTTAACTAGGGAGAAAGTATCATTTTGTGGCATCCTCAAATAAAAATATGTTTGATCTGGGATTTAATCTTGAATCTTATAATAAAATAAATGTGTGTAAATTCTCTCTCAACCCTTTTTTTTTTTTTTTTTATTTTTTTTTTTTGCTAAATTTTTTTTTATTCTCAAAGTTTTAGTGCATCAAAATGGGGATGAATTAATTTCCCTTTTTTATAGATCCATTGGAGATCATATATAAATACGTATATTTATGTGTGTCTACATATATGTTATGTACCAATATGCTGAATGTACACATATTTCCGAATTTTACAATTTGTTTTATCTGTTAATGCGTCTATAAAGCAACTAGCTATTTGTTAATGTTAATTGCTTTTTTTTTTTTTTTTTTTTTTTTTTATGAACAGCTATCATAAAAAAAAAAAAAAAAACGTTTTATGGACGATTAAGCTTAAACTTTTACATATTTGAAAAAATAAAATAGTTCATTACCATATTAATTTCATAAAGACGTAAATTTATCATTTTAATAAAAAACTATTTGATAACATAAATTCATTATTTTAAGGGTAGGTGGTCATATCTTGGTCGAACATATCTATTCACCATTTTTATTATAAAGTTGTCTTTTCTTTTGTCACCACGTGAATGTACGCATGTATATTCGCTTGCATGCGCAAATATCGCACACGCTTGTCATGTTACACATTGACTGAGGGCAAAAAAAAAAAATTTGACCACGGTTTAATGATATATATGTTTACATATATTTTTACTAATCCTACAAAAATCTTTTTGTGAATAGATTTTTTCATTTACGATGCAATACACAAAGAGTAAAACGGTGGTTAATTTGAGATCGATCAGCATATCGAGCGATAGCACTATTGTCCTAAAAAAATCAAGCACCTCACTGAAAAAGGAGTTGCACACAAATGTTCAGGGAAAATTGTTCAACGGTGATGACCTGTCTGAGGAGGAAAAAAAATTAAGCACGCCTAAATTAAAGTCATCCCTTAAAAAAAAAAAATACTTTCTAGCTAGAAATGCACTAGGTGTAAGAAGCGGAAGTGTTTCGAATCGTGTTCTCCAGAAGGATATCCCCCAAATGGATGTGATAGAAAAGGGTGATGTGGGGGAGAAAGAAAAAGATGATGCAAGAGAGGAAGATCATGATGATGCAGGGGAGGAAGATATTAATGAGAATGACGATGATGAGAATGATAATGATGAGGATGATAATGATGAGGATGATAATGATGAGGATGATAATGGTGAGGATGATAATGATGAGGATGATAATGATGAGGATGATAATGATGAGGATGATAATGATGAGGATGATAATGATGAGGATGATAATGGTGAGGATGATAATGATGAGGATGATAATAATGAGGATGATAATGATGAGGATGATAATGATGAGGATGATAATAATGAGGATGGAAAAAGAACAGAAACAGGGGAAAACAATGAAAATAAGAAAAAACATGTGAAGCAGAAAAAAATAGCAACTAAAAGAACATCCGTGTTCCACAGGTTAGCCACAACACACACACTGAGTAGCAGCAACAGGTGTGTAAATCCAAAGATAAAAAAACAGTTCACAGAAAATATTCATTCGACCATGAAGGGAGGAGGCCCAAAGAAAACGTTCAGCATGAGCGAAGATAAAAAAGAGAAATATTCCTCATTCGCACCGTACAATAAAGCCAGGATGCAAAATATGGAAAAAAAGTTAAATATAATTAGAGCCAAGACTCAAATATTAAAAATAGCGGAAAATTTTATGAGCATGGATAAAATTAAGTCCTTCAAAATGGTGAAGAGGGGGAATACACAATCTTTAGCGAAAAACAGAATGTTCCATTCAAGCAAGACGAAAAACTTGGGACCATTTTTACCCCATAAAATAGGGGAGGTCAAGGAGCCAAGAGATGATGCATGTGCTTCGAGCTATTTTCTGGGAAGATCAGAAAGGAGTGGCAATGTAAACATCGATATGAAAGCCAATACAAGCAACCATGTGAAAGATAAAGGACAGAAAACTTGGAAGCGGAAGAATGATGACAATGATACAAATGATAAACTTAGTATCAAACGTAATTTTCATTTGAATAATCGTTCAACTTTAAAGAAATATCAAAAGATGGTGCTACGAAAAATATGTAGCCAACACGGATTCCCTTTATTTGAAAATTTGCTTGCTGTTAATAATTCCGGAGGGATATATGCATGGGGTGGTTACGCGTGGAAAAAAATAAACATCCTCTATGAATATTTCATATCCTTGTGTACTAATAAAAAGGGACATATCATATGTATCAATAAAAATTTTAAACCTGGATTTATAATGAATAATAATTGTTTTCAGAAAATAGACACATATAAAGAAGATTTTTTTTTTAAAATAGTTATTAGTTCTAAAAACAAAATTTGGGGTATAAATTTAAGAGGTGATTTACAAAAATGGGAAAAATATGAATGGGTGCAGGAAAAAAGGGCTTATGGAATATCTAAGCTAAGATCATTAGCTTTTGATAGAAGTGATAATCTTTGGGTCCTTGATCAGAGAAATTATTTCTTCATCTTCTACACGAAACATAAAAATTGGATGCTTCACAATGTTAATAATAAAGGACGTGGAAAAATATATGATTTTGATTTTAATCCAAATAATTTTTTGGTAGCTGTCACCACTGATGGAATGATTAAAATTTACAAAAATGGTAGATGGATAAAATGTGGAATATTAGGACAAATGAAAATTGTGAGTTTACATTTTTCGAGGATGGTGGAAGGCAAAAAGGGACCAGGGGGGGAAGACGAACCAAAAGCTGGGTCAAGCGGGATGTGCTAACCAATCTGATGGTGCAAAACATATTGCAAAACAATTGAGTGCACGTGAAGAATAACTGTGATAAGTAAACGTTAAGGGAGGGGGGAGACGAGAAAAAAAAAAAAAAAAAAAAAAAAAAAAAAAAAATATATATTAGATGCAAAATATAGTTGCTTGTAAAGCGAACGAACACTAACAGGGTCATCATGTGTAATATTGCAAGAGACAGTTTAGTTCTATGTACACACGTTTGAAAGTGGAGATGGTTTTCCATTTCATGCTCACAGCGCGGTTTTTTTTTTTTTTTTTTGTGTGTGTGTTTGTGTAGTTTTATTTCTATTTCTGCTTTTATTTATATTTATGTTTCTATTACTATTTATTTTCTATTTCTATTTATGTTTCTGTTTCTGTTTCTGTTTCTGTTTCTATTTTTGTTTTATTTTTGGAGGGGTGATTGCCGTACATAACAGGTACAAATTTCGTTAATTTTTGAAAAGTTATCATGCGTCGGCTCTTTTAGCACAGGGTAGTTCTAAGGTAACCAAAGGGTCTAAGTTTTAAATTCAGGGGAAAAACATTTTCTCGTTTTGTTTGACTAAACAGGCGAGCCATTTTTACTTATCGGGGGGGATGTTCTTATGTTTAATATGTTATAGCGTTTTTTATCCGTTATTTTGTGCATTTATTTATTTTTATTTTATTTTATTTTTTTTTTTTTTTCCCTTTTCTCTTCTTCTTCTTCCTCTCCTCCTCATTTTACTACTTCTACTTGAATGCTTTTTTGGGGGATCACAAATACTTTAAAGTTGCTTCTGCACAGTTTGCAGCCCACATTTTTTTTTCAACCCCTCCTGATGAGGTGCACGAATGGTTGGAGGAAACGAAGTTGAGAGGTATTTGAACTACATCCATATAATGCACCCCTAAATTATACGCATGACATATGTATAGATATATATATATATATATATACTGGAGAACTATTCCCAAGAAAGTGTACCGATGAGCTATCCCCATTTTGGCATACTCATAAAAAAACATGCAAACTTTTTGGCACCTTTTTCTTATCACATTTAAGTCCACGCATTTTTCTCCTCTGTATTCATACAGTTAGGACACAATTCTGAGTTGTTTTTAATACATGCAAGTGTCTGCATTGTGACGTGACTATTACTACTTCCCACTCGTATGATACCTCTCATCTAGTTAAATGTTGAGGGGACGACTTAAATAAAGTACTCATTTCAGAAAGTATAATTCTCATTCATACAGGGGGGAAACAGAACGAGGTACTAAAAAATTGTGTGCATACATATGAGCACATATATATATATATATATATATATACATACACACATGTACATGCACAACGTTTTGTATTTTATCTATTCGAACCTTTTTAACACTTCTACACATTCTTTCTTCCTTATATGAAGGGGAAGGCAAAAAAAAAAAAAAAAAAAAAAAGGCCACGTCAAATTTACAGAGAACGCTAATTTTTGTTGTGCCTCTAACAAAAATGAAGATTTTTCCCATTTCATACATCCGGAACCTTATTCCTAGTGTAAGCTTAAACAAAATAAATTCCACACATTTATTAAAACATCTGGAAAATGTGTGTGAACATATATCCGAAGTGTTAAGTTATAACAAAGGGGAGATACCGAAAAGACAATATTGTTGTAGGCTTTTAAACAGAATAGAGAAAAAAAAAAAAAAAAAAAGAAAACTTGTTCCTATTAATGGGATAATAGAAACAAATAGATTATTTGAACAAGTATATGTCCAATTAGATAAAGCTATTGTTCAATTAGCAGAGTTTGGACCGAGTGGTATAGTTCGATTATTACGAGCAATGCAAAAAATAAGATATTATGATAAAAGGAGAAAGAGACGTAAAAGAAGAAATATATTAAAATGTATAGAATATTACATACTACAAAGTTCAGTAAATGATAAAGTTTACAATTTCTGGAATTATATTAAATTAAATGATATGGTATTGTTGTACAAAATGTTTATTATGAATAATTATTTTTCTGCCAAATTACTTAACAAATTGATGTTTGAGATAATTCAAAAAAGTGATTTATGTTTATCATCGGATATAATCATTTTTTTATGTTCATATCATATTTATAAAAAGAAAATAAAATGGATGAAGAAATACAGGAAAAATGAAATTACTATATCTTCACATTGTTTAAGTAAACTTTTTTCTGTCATTATGCGTAACAATTTCGATCTTACAAATAAGGAAATGAGCAATTTTGTTTCTTTTTATTCAATTTATGGTAGTATCATACCCTTGAAACAGAGAGTGGAACTTTATAACAAGTCGATCGAATACATAGACAAAACACAGTTGACATACTCTCCCGTGCATATAAAAAATTTCATCCTCAGTCTCTTTAGAATTAATTCCTTTTTTTTTGATAAAAAATATTCAACTAAATTTGATGAATTACCAAATGCACACTTCCACATGAATATTATATGCAAAAGGAATCAAATGTTGGTAAAATTATTTCAACTTTACAATAGTAGTAATACTCATGCAAATGTGGAAGAAGAATTACGCATCCTTCAAAGTGCATTAAGAAATCACTACTACGACTATGATAGTTTGGAGGTTATTCTTTTTCACATAAAAATTAATATTTCTCATTTGACACTTAAAAATCGAATAAAATTTATGCTCTTGATTTTGAAACTCAAAAATGTATACACCAATGATGAGACTTGTAGAAATGCATACATTTCTAGTACAAAAATGAAATTTATTCATCTTATGTTGGACTATATTTTAACTGAATGTAGTGCCTCTTTCGTTAGAGTCAAATATAAATTTCCACCATGGAAATTTAGAGGTCTTCAATTATTTCAGCACTTGTCTGTGGGTATTCATCAGAATGGTGCAAAAATGGAAGTATGATAAAACACTACTTGCACGTACAAACACTTGAGTGTATTACACTCACGCATTCACTACTCCTTTTTTTTTATTTTTATCTTACACTTTATGAATGTAATTTTGTTTTTTGTTTTTTTTTTTTTTTTAGTAGAATGGTAAGATTTCTCTTATATTTTTTTCAACTCATTTGCATTTTGTTATTTGATTGTTTAATGAGGGGGACAACGTAATAGTTACCTAAAATGTGAGAATAGCTGAATTTATTTTGCTATTATTTAGATGCATTTTTTCCCATACTGTAAAAGACGCGTTATAAATCTTTTGTATCTCATTGACACTTTTACACCTGCTCTCACGGTTTAGTGGGAGTGATGGTTTGTTCGATTATTTTTTTATTCTCTTATTTTGTCATTTTGTTATTTTGTTATTTTGTTATTTTGTTATTTTGTCATTTTGTTATTTTGTCATTTTGTTATTTTGTTATTTTTTTTTTTTTCTTTTTTTTTTGCGTTACTCAGTTGACGCCCCTTCTAATGCTGGTATTATTTATACCATTAACAAGGTTGTTGTCATATTTTTCCTTTTGGTAAATCCAATGTCTGTGATGAAGTTACAGGGGTCAGACATGATAACTGCGTTCTCTCATATATATATAAATGCAGCATTCTTATGAAGATTATGTAAAAAAAAAAAAGGTTTTGTCAAAAGGGCAACACCATTACTTTTCTGAGCTTCTTGTATACATAATGTAGTTATATACTATATATATGTGAACAATTGACTAATGCTAGGTCCCCATTTTATTTTCACCCCTCCTCCTACCAAAAAAAAAAAAAAAGGAGAAAATAATTCCAGCAAGGAGGTCATATTCCTATTTCTTCTACGTAAAAATAAAAAGAGAAGGCACACAATTGTGGGGAAAATAATATGTATGAACATAATCCAAATTTACAATTCGTGTTTTGGCTAAACGGTTAAAAGGTCAAGCGGTTAAGAGGTTAAATACAGTTGAAAAATATAAACTCTCCTCAATTTTTAACGAACATTATTTAGGGAAAATAATTTATACGTGAGATAAGAGATGCTCTGAAGAAAACAAAAAAAAAAAAAATAAAATAAAATAAAAAATAATAAATAAATAAAACACACTTTTCTCCCCTAACACCATTTTTCGTTCACTTTCAATTTTTTTAAAAAGGTAAAAATTGACGAAATTTTTTTTTTCTTTTTCCCCTATATATATATTTGTAGTGGTCAAGTTTCAATGGGGGGCTCTTTTTTTTTTTTTTATGCCCTAACGCGTGTTGGGATAAGTTAGAACATGCATTTATATATATGTATATATATGTACATATAAATATATACATAGTATATTTATGTATAACTTTAGATGAAATATATAAAAAAAAAAAAATTTCACACGTGAGAGGGTAACTAAAATATGATGATAGGGTTTACTCGCAAGGATGTATATATATATATATATATATATATATGCAGCATCTTTGAAAAATAAGCATGATGATGTGATGAAAACCCCTGCCCCTCCTTCCACCCGACTGACTCTATTTACCCATCCTGACATTTGGGGAGTTGCATTTATTTTTCCGAATATTTTTTGTATTTTACGTAGAGAAAGAGGATAGGAAATGTGATCCTACAGGTCTTTGCACCCTTATCCCCTCAAGTATATTTTGGGAGTTCGTGCATATGCAGGCGTACAGTGCTATCAAAATGTATATATATATATATATATATATATGATATATTTTTGACAATATTGTGACATGAATTTTTGAGGGGGAAAAATACATCGGTGAGGTTGTGTTATCGCCCCATTCCAGAAAATGAGGATACCATAGAGAAAATAGGAAAAGGGCAGCCTTAGGATTATACAACTTGGGGGAAATTTTTTTTTTTGCTTCGAATTGGGTGCCAAAATTGGGAGGAGAAAGCTGGTGCAAGCACAAATGGAAGCACAAAATGAAGTGCAATGAGAGAACCTTGCTACTTAGATTCTTTTCTCAGAAAATTCCACGCTTTCCAAAAGTTTTCAACGCCTTGTTTGAAGTAAGCACAATTTAAATTATTTTTTTCCTCTCTCGGGATGCACTTTTTTTGCAAAATTGAACGAGTTTTAAAATTTTCGTTTTTCTGGTGAGATTTATACATTTATATTATACAGGTGGAAAAAAAAAGGAAAAAAAAAAAAAAAAAAAAAATATCAAAAAAAAAAAAAATTAAATAAAAGCGTTACAAAAAAAAAAAAAAAAAAAAAAAAAAAAAAACAAAAACATAAACGAGGGAACAAATATTAAAAGAGTAAAAAAAAAAAAAAAAAAAAAATATAAAATACTTAAACTCGTTAACAAATTGTTAACCAGTACACAACTCCTTCGATTTGCAGTAACAGCTTACCTAGCCCACAATCTTAAGATAGCTCCCTTAAAAATCGTCAAACGCAAAAATTAAAAATGGCCAAAAGACCAGATCCGAATGAGATAAAATATGGTAATATCTTATTTTCCTTTTCATCTTAAAAATGCATGAAAACCAACGGTGAATACTCGCATATCAGCCCTGTTATGTTTGTCGCTATTATTCCATGTTACACTTATATATATGGTGACCTTCATCTGTCCCATAAGTTGCGTACTTTTCTTGAAAAAACAAAGATGCATATTTACATATTTACCCATTTACACAT